TGAGACGTTCTTGTGGTAAAAAAAAAAAAAATAAAAATATAATATAAAAAACAACGCGCGGCCCGTTTTTTAAAAAAAAAAAAAAAATTACCCTCCCCCCCCCCCCCCCCCCCCCTTTTGATTTTCTTTTCAATACACATTACACCATTTTTTATTAAATAATTGACGTGATTAACCATTTTTTTTATTGTATTATCTTCATAAAATATCATTATATGATAAATATATTTTAATTTATTGTTTTCAATAAATTTCTGTTGAATATTAATTCTGAAAGAGTATCTTTAGAATGCGATTTTTACCTGTTTCTGCTCCTAACGCTGCTTTGAAATAATCATACGCGCTGAAATAAATAGCCCATGTTGGAAGATATCCATATAATGTAGGTCCAAGACCACGATATAACCCACGGATTCCTTCTTCTACCCATATACGCCTCAAAGTTCCTAGATAAAAAATTATCTCTCATTCAATTCAACTAAACTCATTTTATGTTATTAAAAAATTTGATCTTTATAACAGAACTAAAAGGAATTGACAAAGATGCTTTCGAGTTTATACCTCCTGTACCTTGATAGATAGGTACTCTATAATCAACAATTTTGCCTTGGTTTTGTAACCTAGTCTTTACTACGTCTAAAGGACACGTTACAATAGAGCTGACACAGCCTGCAACAGCTCCAGCAATGGAATGCTTAATTTTATCAGTTTCATTAGAAAGTATTCCAGCCTTTTTTGTGGTCATGTATGCGAAATGGTTTAGAAAAAATGTTCATCCATTTTTTTTTAACTATGTTTTTTTTACACTAATAAACTAGTAAGTTTTTTTTTTTTTTGCTATGGGAAAATTTAATTCAATGTTTGAAATTCTACCAATCATTTTTGCTTATCATAAGTGGCTTATAACGATAATGGCGAATAATTTATCAAACGAAACATTTTAAGTTATAATGGTATCACCTCAATTATATTATATAATAAGAAATTATCTTTATTAATGTATAAAATGCATATTTAAATTATAGTTTTAATATAAGAAATACAATTTATAAAAATTTTTTATTTTTGAATTTTAATACTGTTTAAAAATAACTTTTTATTAATTTATTTACATTAAATTAAATGTTTGAAATTTTAATTTGAATTTAATTAAATTAAATTAAAAATTAATTAAAGATTAAATTTGAATTTTGAATTAATTTTTAAATTATAATTGGATTCGAAAGTTGATATAATTATTCAAATGTTTTAATATAATAAGAAGGATAATAAATAGTATTAACTAATCTGTTGCATTTTAAAAATCTTATCATTTTAATTATTTTGCCTACAAATTTATAAGCAATTTTATTTATAAATTAAAATAATTTTTAATTATTTTTAAATATTTTAAAATGTGCTATTAAAAAATTAATATTTTTATAATAAATTTTATGATGTTTTCTAAGTAAAAATTATATAAATAAATGACAAATTATTATTAAAAAAAATTAAAATTTTAAATTTATATATCTTGCTATCTATTAATCTTAAAAATATAAAAATACTATTATTTAATAGATCTTAATGAGATGAATCCAATAAACTAAATTTTATTTTTAAATAATTATTACATAACATATTATTTTTAAAAATTGAAAATTGAAAAATTGATATATATTAATAATTATTAATTTAAAAAATTTAAAAAAATTATTATTAAATGTATTTTAATATGACAAAGTTAGTTAACTTTATTTTATCTTTTTGTAATCATTAGATGTCAAAATATTTTAAGTTTTCTAAAATGTTTATAACAATTTTATATTCACAATTTAAGAGATTATATAATAGTATTTTAAGAATTTTAGAGATATAATTTTGAAGAAATATTTAAATATTTTAATAGTATAATTTTTATTAATGTTATATTTATTTATAAATTAGTTTTTTTTTATTTAATTTTATAGTAAAAACTTAAAGATTTATTTAATTTTTAAATAAATAAATTAAAGCTTAAAAATTTACTTTTAAATCTTTTTTAAAATAATTTTTTTAGTAATTTTGAAAATTTTATTTATTATATGAGGCATGCTGCAATAAAATCAGACAAAGTGAACATTTGATTATGTAATGTAAATGAGAGGCTGATTATATATGGCAGTAAAATTGACTAGTATAACTGATGACTTTTTGAAAAATAATAATGATGCTTATTCATAACTTATGAACTTATTAATTTTAATATTCACTTTATTATACCAGAATGTGATAAATATAAACCATAATATGATTAATATAGGATTATCTCTATATATAAAAATATTAATATAAAACTAATTTACATTAAATTCACTATAGAATTCAAGAATTACAGCACCATTAGAAGCATTCTAAAAAAAGTTCAAGGAGAGAAAATTACGCTTTATGTTTTTAAAATCAATAACACCTAAATACTTCAGAAATATCTAGATAAAAAAAAAATGACATGAAATTTAAATTATTTTCTTAATTTCAATCAAGGCCATTTCTTAGTTTCTTTAACTTCAATTTAAACAATTTGACTATTCTGTTGCTTTTTTAAGTGCTAGTTTTCTTCTTTTAACTTAGTGACTTCAGCTTCTAATTTTTTAATTCTCTTTATTTCTCATCACCTCACTCTTTTGACTTTTTATAAAATTTAGCAACTTCCTCTCTTTCAATGTTTAATTCCTCTTTAGTAGTTATTAACTCTTTTTTTAGTTTGCTAGTTTTCTTTTCTAAACAAGAACTGAAAGATCAAGAAATTAATTCACTTTCAGTAAAAGATTAGATTTGCTTCTTTTTTCTTTATAGCAATAACAAAAACTCTTGTTTCTTATTAATATATCACACTTTTTACATCTTGAAAGAGTACTATTATCATATTCAATTTTACAATCTTTATAAATAAAGGATATATCAAAGTATTGTTCTGTCTTGGTATATGTTATCATCTAATAAGTAGCAGAAGTAGTGCTAAAATCAAGGTTGATTAGATCATTATAGTTTATAAAACAATAACTGCATTCTTGCTCATCCTCTTTTTTTAATTCCAAAACTTTATATTCTAAACTCATACTAATTTATTTATTTCTTTAAATAATGTAAGTTAGGAACTTCTCCTTACTTTTTTCTTTAATTCTATTTACTAATTGTTTAAGTTTTAATAATCTGCTTTGCTTTTTAGGTAGGGTTGGTAATTCTTTATTCTCATATTTTTTGACAACTTGTTTTTTATTTCTTAATCAATTAATATTATTTTCTAAAACTTCTATTCTTTTTAAAAATCACTTCTTTCTCGAAACATAGATTAATTTTACTTCTTTTATTTAGCATTCTTTCTACTTTATGGCTGTATTCAATACTTTTCAGCTTTTTCATATTCTATTTATAAATCATCTTTCAAACCTTCTACTTTTTTTTCTAATTCTTCTACTTTTGCTTCTAACTCTTTAATTCTTTTATTCTTACCTCTAATAATATCTTTAAGAATTATATTCTTAACTGATCTACCAAAGATTTCACCCCCTTCTTTTATTTGAGAAATAATATGAATTCTTTTATTTCATTTCTTTTAATCTTTTAAAAAGTCAGTAGTTAACTCAGTACTTTCAAAATAGTTTATTACAATTCTCTCTACAACTTTTTTCAAATTCTCCTTTTCTTTCTAATTATAATCATGCATAAGACTGTATTGAAAACAAATATTCATAAATTGTTTTCTTAATAATTTGCTAATTAATTCTCTTAAATCTTGTTCAATGTTTTTGCTACAGTGTGAGAACCTATTTCTCATCTCTATCAACATTTGGTGAATTCTTTCAGTTGCTTTTTGTTTAAATTCTACTTTTTCTTGCTCACTTACTTCTGTATTTTTATAATCATTGAGTTCTCTATTTTTATCTGCTAATTGTTATTTTAATAATTCTATTTCATTTAATAATTCTTTATTTTCTTGCTATTGTTTTTCTATAATATTTATCATAAATTTTTTTTTAATATACTTATAAGGCTAAATTAAGTATATAATTATTTTAATATTCCTTTTATTTAAACTTTATAAGTTGTAAAGTAAAAATATTAGATAGAAAATTTAATGTGGTGAGAAAATTAATGAATTTTAGTCTAAATATTTTATTCGTTGCTAGTATAGGTTAGTTTTGGATAAGTAATATCTTTGTATTCATTTCTAACAAATAAACAAATGTTCTGGTATAGATAAATCTGCCTTTTGTAGTCTAAAAAAGAAGGGTTTAATATTAAAATAGATAAAGATTTAATTTCTTTGATAATTTTAGAAACACTGAATTTTTTAACCTTTAACAAATTAAATTCAGTAAATGCATCATTAGCAACCAACTGAGCTTTGATAACTTTAGGATTAGTTACTTCAAAGAGAAAATGCTAATATTTTTATAAGCCACTCAATTTTTTAAAGAAAATTTCCAACACAGAATTAAGATCCAAATACTGAAAGCCTTTTCCATTATCATAACATTAAACTTTGTTTAATCTTATTGTACTTGATCTTTTCACAAACTCAATAATATGATCTAAGCAATCTATTGTTATTTTTCTATAGAGTTTTTTAATTAATCCAAAATTACTATCACACTTGAATTTAGTATATTCAGGTACCATAAAATTCAATTCAATATTTTCATAATAATCACAAATTATTAAATATAGGTAAAATCAAAGGATAATATTATTTTTATTCTAACTACCTGCATTATCACAAGTAATCTTTAAATATTTTTGTCTTTATTTAATCGCTTAATCTCATTGATTACTATGCTCAGTGTACCATTGGGTCCTTTTCCTATAATTTTACCTTTATCAAAAACATAATTAATTTGTTTGCGTACTGCTTCATCTTAAATACCAAATAAATATACTTTATGCGAACTGAGATAATAATCTTACTTACCTGTTGATCAGAATGAGAAACATAAATATTTTACGCTCAATCATAACTGTAATGAGCAGTAATGTTAACACTATAATAATCAGCTTTACTTCTTATTATAAACTATTTATCTATCAACTTTTTCTATTATTCTGCTAATTTTGAATTTTTGTTGTAATAGTTTCTCTTTAACTTAACTTTAATTAGATGTTCTTTGAATTTTTTTAGTAAGTCTCTTGCTTCTTCTTCATTGCGAGCATTATACTGTAAGTCATTCTGAAAATATTGACAAGTATTGCATAAATCTGTTTATAGACTTATGATTTGAATATAAGGTATTAATTAGTGTCATAACTTGCAGAATGCATCATATTTTAATAATTTCAATATGCATTCATTTTCAAGTCCTACAATAAAATCATGATAAACTGATTTATAATTCATTTCAATTGGCAAAAATGTAAGTGATTGAGTAATGCAGTTAAACATTTTTACCCAGACTTGGTAATTCATGTATTTCAATGTAATTCTCAAGAAAATTATTTACAGCGATAGCAACAGTTATATTAATAGTTATTTTAGTTTTTCATTGCAGCATTCTTTTTATATTATCATGAATACGTGGTATTATACCATTCGTCTCTAAGTGATTTCTGACATTTTTGAAATACGTATAACTAATTCTTAATATATTAAAATACATTTTCTAATAAAGAGACGTATTGCGATCTCAATAATAAAAAGTTCTTTTATTAGTATGTATTTTCTTTCTAAGGCGTCAACTGGCAATTATTTCTCCACCATTTATTACTTTCAGTTGGGTTATTACAAATATATCTTGTTCAGATCTAAAGAGAGCTTGAAACACCTCATGTAATTTGACAAACTTTTTTCTCAGAATCTTTTTTGAGCAATCACAATTGTAACCTATCTCTAAAAAAAGCATAGCTTTTTCGTACTCATTGTTATTATATTTATTATTCTTCATATACAGATAATCCTATATATTAGTTTTATTATTGATTAGCCTGACCATATGACATGCAAAATTTTTTAGATCATATGATTTGATTCTAACTATTTTATTCTCACTATTGAAAAGAGTTTCTGCAGCTATAATGAAGCTAATATTGTGGATACTTTTTGAGGACCAAAAAAGAGCTGTTCAATATCCTATAAAATATATATAAGCTGATAGCAACTTAAACGATCTTAGAAGTAGTCTTTGTGAACAACAAAAATTTCTCAAAGACATTGAGCCAGATGACATTGAGTTTTTTCCTATGACAAACACAACGAGTCTCTTAGTGAAAATATACTTCTTAAGGATCTAACCACTACTACTACTGCACCTTTTATTATTTGTTATTTAGTGTCAGATTCTGATGGTAAACAAGCGTTTTCTTTCACTTTTGTCTGTTAAAGGCTAATAAGTTACTTATCTTCAACTCATAGTTATCGTCTACTGTAATCTCTTCACAAAGTAGTTCAAAGAAAAATTTCTATATTTCTCAGGTTTTTAGTATCTCATTCGTACTTATTACCAAAAATCATTCAAAACTCTACTATCAGATGTCCTATACCATTTCATATACAACAGGTAAACAGACAGAAAAATAAGCAGTGAGAAGAAAATTGAAAACAAGTATTAGTTGAATAAAGTAATAATAAAGATTAAACTGGATGAAAAAGGCAGACATGTAATTTATCTTTCTATTCAGATTGAAATAGAGGCAATAAGAATGTTTATGTGATTCATTTTTGATTTTTATAGGTAGAAAAGCATATAGTGACTGAAAGTTAACAGAAGTTCTTCAGCAGTTTCTGAAATATCAAAGATCGTCTTTGACTGATATTAGCCAATTTAATATTGGTAACAACATGCTATATTTTCTATTTGCAAATATTATCACATATTGTCATTAATCATTTCTTATATGATTCTTGTCCTGCAGTTGAACTTTCAGATCAAGACCCTCCTATTGAATCTGATGCATTCCAGATATTCATTAAGGACTTGAAGTAAAAAAGAGACAATTTCTATATTATTAATACAAACGAGATGACATGCAGAAAATTTATCTCTTCATTTATGAATAGCACAGTAACTCATATGTAACCAAAAAAAAGTAAATTTCAGCTTAAAGCTAAAGAATGAATTAATAAAAGTCATGAATATGAGCTTGTGACTATTCTGATAATTTAGGTGAGGTGGTTATTTTGGTTAAAGAAGCTAAAAAAGAAGATTTTAAGAAGATAGCCGCTTAGAATATTATATAAATGCATATTGCTATTGAGGTAGAGAAATGATGTATTTTTTTTCTTTCAGTTCTGCTACTTGCTTTTTATATAATATAAAATCAACCATTTCTCAGACAATAAAATGAAAACACAAAATGAATGAGATAGAATTAGAAAACATTTCAATTCTAATATATGAAATTGTGACAAATGATATAGAATTACTTTCTTTGATGAGCAGACTCTCTAGAAGATGCAATAATAGAACTTTATGATTCATATACCTGTGATTTTTACAACAATTTGAAGGATGCAGAGCATCTTGTTGGCTATATTGTCTTTATTCTCCAATTATAAATTAATAGTTTAAAAAATAGTGCTGAACGCTATACAACTCAAGCATCCTAGTCACATTAAGTCTTAAACCCTATCTTAAAATAGCCATATATTTCAAAAAAAGAAATATTAATTTAAAAATTCATCATACTTTAATAGATAAGATCACAGGCTATAAAAGTATAATTTAATTTTTAAATTAGATCCATATATAAGAAGTTATATGCATTTTACTTCAGCAAAAATTATATGTATATATATAAAATATCCTCAATTTGGCTACTAAATTTTAGGTTAAAAATTTAATTTTTAATACTTTTTAACATTAAATTTCCATTGAAAGATGTGGTAAAATTATCAGAAATTAACATAATTATAAATTTGAATGATATATATACAATCATATGCAATTTGCTTTTCGCAATTTATTTTAAAATAAAGTTTGATGACTGGTAAGTTCCCATCAAAAGTAATGGCAGTTGGAGACATTGCTTCTTATATAGACCACAGCAATTCTGTTATCCCAATTTGGCTTATTGTTTATTAGATTAAATTGGATAATAGAATGTTTATATAAAATAAATAATAAAAAAATAAATTAAACCCATTTGAACTTTTTTATTACTCACCGAAATTACAATACCATTTACATCTATTAAAATAAGTTGCAAAGTCATAAAGTTTTTTTAGAATAGGAACATACAATATTTGGGCTATTTTTTAAAAAAAAATTGAGAAAAATATTAAAAATATTAGTTGCACAAAAAAATTTTAAATAAAAATTTTTTTTAATGAAAAAATGGAATAATCTTAATAACTCAATATTACTTAACTGTATCAATAGCATGCTAATCAAATTTAAGTATGTATTGATACAAATGGAAGATATATTACATATTAATTATCTAATAAAATTATAAATATTATTTTTATCTTTATTTTAAAAAAGATTTACATGTTTTTGATATAAAATTACATGTATAAGGTTAAAAAAACTGTTTGTTATTACTTTGATGAAGACTGTATATCAAAGAGAAAAAAACACATAAAAAAACTTGCTGAAAAAAAACAAAAGAAACATGTTCAAATGGCCAAAACAAACCTTAAAGTGAAAAATAATGAAGAAAGTTTGTGAGAAATTTTTCATGATGCAGAAAATAATGAAGAAATTATATGAGAAGATGATGATTTAGATGATAATTGAGAAGATTTAATTCAAATTTAATAGATCAAATATGAAATTATACTGTATCTCATTGAACCATAAGTTAACTTATACAGGAAATTCTGCAAGAACTAAATGCAGACATCATGTTCAAGCAAAAAGGGATGCCAAAAAAAAATGGGCAAACAATTGATCATTTTTTTTCTATTACAAAATCTAATGAAAGTGATGAAATAAGTGAAGAATCTAAAGATGAACCTAATGATAATGATGATTATTTCTAACAAGTAATTAATTCTCTTGAAATACAACTAAAAGAAAAGAATTTAGATGAAGGTCACAAATTAAGATTAATTGCTATATTACAATATATGTGACTTCTTGAATTTCAAGATTATAAATTAAAAGCTAGTCTTAGTATTACACAATAAATTAAAAAAGTATTATAGTTTGCTTGATATCTTTGTTTATGGAATCGCATGCTGCAAAATGGAGAGTCTATTCTATTTTCTAAACGAGAAAAGCATTGTAAGGTAAAAAGTTTACTTAATAATAAAAATATTCAAATGCAAGTTACTTCTTATTTGCAAGAAAAAAAATTTGAGTTTTATGTTGCTGATTTTGTAGATTATATTACAAATATTATTTTCTATCACTTGGTGTTAAAACAAAAATAATAATTAGGTAAATGTTTTACTTTTAATTTTTTAATTATTAAATAATATTTATTATTTATAATTATTAATTATTAGTGAAACTACTGCAAGAAATTAGCTTAGAAAAATGGATTATTATTATAAAAAATATTAAAGGAAGTTTATGTGAATATGCATAAATGTGAGGATATAGTGGAATATTGAAAAATCTTTTTAAAAAAAATGAAAATGTAAGTATCACATCAATTATGCAATGTCAATCAAACCACAATTTATTTATTTATTTTCATTTTTTATAATAAAATTATCAAAAATTAATGCTGATTTTTGAAGGTGATGAAATGAAAATTCAAATTAATCCTGATTTGTAATCAAATAAATAAATCATATTTTAATTATCTATGATAAAATCACATTTCATTCTAATGATAGAAGAAATTCTGGATGGGTTCCTAATCATGAATAGCCTTTGCGAAAAAAAGGATAAAGATGTGCTATTTATACAGTGATAGATAAAAGTATTTGCACACTTTTTCACTCAATATAAAACTTATAATTTTTTGCATTAACAATAAACAGTCAATTAATATTTTATTTAAAGCTGATTAAGATCTACATTTTATACTAAGTAACTAGTATTTAGTTATACTACTATTTGCTACAATCACAGCTTGAATTTATTGTGGTATATTATCAACTAGGTTTTGATAGTATGCTTCAGAATTTCTTGCCAAGCCTTTTTAACATATCAGTCAAATTAGATAGAAGTTTTTTATAAGCTTAGATATTTTTCTTAACTTCAGTTCAAAGATTCTCAATTGGATTAAGATCGGGACTTTAAGCTGGCCAAGATAAAGTATGAAGATTGTTTTTTTGCTTGAAAAATCATTGCAGTTAATTTTTTAGTTTTTACCATTTTTTTAGATTTTCAGAGAAGAAAAATTTATTAAAAAAATAAATTGTTATTCTTTTTATTTTTATAATATAAATAAATACTTAAGTGTTATGTAAATGCAATTTATTATTGCGATCATATGACTTTATTAGTATTAGTTCACATTATGAAAGGTATGCAAATACTTTTGTTCATCCTCTGTATAAGTGATTTTATTTGTAAAACAATTGGTCAATTGCAATTAAATAAAGAACAAAAACTTTCTGAAATTGGAAATAAAATTCTATATGAAACTTGAGTTATAATGAACCCTGAAAAAAATCATAATGGTTGGTGAACTGTTGAAAAATTAGTTAAATAGGTAATTGATTAATTATTTTTTTTTTATTTTAATAAATAAATTTTTTTATTTAAAATAATTCAATATGCAATTCCCATATTTGAAATAACTCATCCAAATGCTATTGGTATTTTTGCATTTGATAATTTCACATCACATAATCCTTTTGCGTCTGATGTATTAGTTGCATCATGTATGAATGTAAATCCTAGTGGAAAGTAACTTCGAATGAGAAATACAATATTTAATGAACAAATTCAAAGTATAAATTTTCTTGATGATTATTTTGATAAACACTTTAAGAAAACCAAAAGATATGAGACAAGTTTTAGAAGAACATCAGTTAATAAAATCAGGCTTAATAGGATATTGCCGTAATAATAAATCAAAAGATACTCAATGTTGCATACGGCATATTCTTGAAAATCAACCTGATTTTCTTACTTAAAAAGGAATAATTCAAGAAATTATTAAAGAATGAAGTCATAAAGTAATTTTTTATCCAAAATATTATCCTGAATTAAATTTTATTAAAATGTATTGGGAAGCATCCAAAAAATATTCTCATAAAAATTGTAACTATACTTGGACTGGTTTGCAACAGATTGAACTAATTGCTTTAAATCAAGTTCCATTATCTCATATTAGAGCATTTGCAAGAAAATCATATAGATATATAAATGCATATTAAAAAGGATTGGATATAAAGCAAGCAAAATATGTAGTTAAGCATTATAAAAGACATAGAATAATGCCTAATACATTGCATCATAATATTTGATGTCTTTTAAATAATTTTTTAATAAAAAAATTTTTGTGTATATTGCATGATACATTTAAGTTGTATATTAATGCTAGTCAGAATTATATTAATTTTATAATTCAGGTTGAAAGTTATGTAAAAGTCACATGATTAACTGCTTGAAAAAATTTGGCTGCTATATTTAAGATTTGATGTAACTAGAGTGCTTGAGCTATATAATTAAGCAGTATTATATAATACCCTTAGTTTCTCACTCTGGCTCTCTTATAGATGAATCTTAATTGCAAACTTATTTGTTTTACAGTTGTTATCTTGCTTTTTCCTTCTAATGCTAATAATACTTTTTCAAGATTGACAATTCAATTATTTAGTTATTTTTTTTTCACCAATACTTAGGTTTATTTCAACTATATATTGCAAAGCTTTAATACTAGCAAGTTGCATAATAGATAATTATGTTGTTGAGTTAGCCATTAGTAGCAAAATCTTGTTAATTCTCAAAGAACTTTTGCAAGTAAATATAATACTAGAGCTCCAAACAGATTAGTTCAGGTCAGGTCAATCAAGTTACCTGAACTGAGAGGATCAGGTCAGGTTAAATAAAAATCTGACCTCATTTAAATTTTCATTTGAATTGACCTGATCTAACCTGATCTGACCTAATTTGATCAAATTATTTAAATTATTTAATAAACAATATATTATATTTGATTCAATTTAAAACTCTAATTTATTTTGTTATTTTTCTTTTACTTTTTCTGTAAAAAAAATTATATGCAAAATGATATGAAAATTTTTAATTTGATGATTAATTACAGTTGTACAATTAATTATAGTTATACTGAAAATCAATTTTTTAATCTTTTTTTTCTTTCTTTAACAAAAAAAAATACTTTTATTTTATTTAACATAATCTTTAAAAAAAAACCTTATTTTTAAATACTTAAACTTGTAAGAACTTTTACTAAATGTAATTTTTTTATTTTTGTAAATTTTAATTTTTATATATATTTAACATCTTTTTTTATAAACATTAATACAGAGATTTCATAATAAATTTTAAATACTTTGGTTAAAGTCAATCACCTTTTATTTCTAAGTGAAAATTATTTAGTAGATTTAATACTATTTACATTTAATATTCTATCTTAAAGAGATTAATATTGTGTAGAAATAATTTTTTTTATAACTTTACTAAATAAGTCACACTTTTTTAACTTCACAAGAAAATTTGAGCACTTTGGTCAAAGTCAATTACTTTTATTTCTAAGTAAAAGTTGCTCAAAAGTTTGATACTATTTGTATATGAAATTTAATCTCAATTAGATTAATATTCATATTGTAATATATGTTTTTATAATTTTATTAATATTGCAGACCTTTTTTTTTAACTTCACAGGATAATTTGAGTACTTTAGTCAAAGTCAATCACCTTTTATCTCTAAGTAAAAGTTATTCAGCAGATTTGATACTATTTATACCTAATTTCCTATATTGATAAAATTAATATTTGTTAAAAATATTTTTTTTTGTAATTTTACTAAATAAGTCATACTTTTTTGATTTTACAAGAAATTTTGAACACTTTGGTCAAAATAAATCACTTTTTATTTATAAGTAAAAGTTGCTCAACAGGTTCGATACTATTTGTATATAAAATTTAATCTTAATTGAATTAATATTCATATTGTAATATGTGTTTTTGTAACTTTATTAATATTGTAAACTTTTTTTTTAACTTTACAGGATAATTTGAGCACTTTGATCAAAGTCAATCACCTTTTATCTCTAAGTAAAAGTTGTTCAACAAGTTTAATACTATTTATATATAATATTTTATATTAACTGAATTAATATATTTGTGTAGAAATATTTTTTTTGTAACTTTATTAAATAAGTCACACTTTTTTAACTTTACAAAAAAATTTGACACTTTGGTCAAATCAATCACTTTTCATTTCTAAGTAAAAGTTATTTAATATATACGATATTATTTGCATATAAAATATATAAAATTTAATCTTAATTGGATTAATATTTATATTGTAATATGTGTTTTTGTAACTTTATTAATAGCGCAGACCTTTTTTTTAACTTTACAGAATAATTTGATCACTTTAATTAATATAAATCGCTTACTGCACATTAAGTAAAAATGTTCTATATATCTGAAACTATATATATATAAATTTTTATCTTACATAATTTAATATTTGTTAAGTAATAGCTTTTCGTAACTGTATTAATTCTCAAATTTTTTTGTTTTTTTTGAATATTATATTTATGTAATTTATTAAATACTGTATCAATATAATGTATATTATAGAATTACCACACTTTATAAAAAAAAAAGTATCAAATAAAAGAATTTAAAAGTTATTATTTTGTTTTAATATAATTAATTTTCTTTAAATAAATTTTAAAAAAAAAATTTTTTATCGATTTTTATTGTATTTTTAAAATTATATAAAACAGTAACTTATATAATAATTAAATATTACAATTACAGTTTTTCATGTAGAATTTTATTTTTTTTTAAATGTGCATCTTAATTATAATAATTAATGATAAATTTAAAATTTTTTATTAAGAGTAAAGTTCACTTCGAATTTCATAAAATATGTGACAAA